AGAATTAAGAGAAAGGAAAGATTACCGATTCTATGGAAGGAAGTGACCTTAAAAAAACCATTAGAATTAAAGTTTACAAAAAAGGTAAGACTCTTTACATAGAAGGATAAGAACAACATTAAAGGCACGAAGGTGTGCTTGGAAAGGCAGTATGTTGAGGAGTGCTATGGTCTGAATGTTTGTGAGCACCAAAACACATATGTTGAACCTTAACCACCAATATGGTGGTAATAGGAAGTGGGGCCTTTTGGGAGGTGATTAGGTCAGGAGTGGAGCCCTCATGAATAGTAGAATTAGTATCCTTATAATATAGGCCCAAAAGACTTTGTTCACGTTTCTTCTACCATGTTGAGGACACAGCCAGAAGTTGGCAGTCTGAAACCTGGAAGAGGGCCCTCACCAGAACCCAACAATGCTGGCAACCTGATCTTGGACTTTCCAGCTTCCAGAATGTGAGCAATAAATTTCTGTTGTTTATAAGACATCCATTCTATGGCATTTTTTAATGGTGGAATGGACTAAGACAAGGAGTCATTGGAAATAAAAGCGGAAAGGCCAACTGAAACCAGTTTTTGGAGGGACTTGAAAAACAGGCTTTTAGTGTGAGATTGGTCTTTATTTTAATAAGTTTTTATTAATTATTAGTGTTCTAGCCTCCAGTCTAACCTATATATCTTCAGGCTAAGTCTTTCTTGAAATTGATTCCAACAAGCCACATCTACACATAAGAGCTTGAAGGCTATTAATAGTAATCCAGGAATGAAGGGCTTCTTGGCTATGATGAACATGGAGGAGGAGAGATAAATTCAACAAATATGCAAAAAAAAAAAAATGAAATAACATAAATTGATTTTACCTAGCACCTTGAATTTGAAAAGAAATTATACATCATACAATGCTCTCCTCATTTTACTGATTAAAGAGATTAGGCTCAGAGAGGTATGACTTGCCCAGAGTTAATGGTACAGCAAGGATTAAAAAACAGATACTCTCATTTTCATGCCAAAGCAGCAAAAAGAGCTTCAAGATTTTTATACTGGGGCCTAGAGAATTAAGGAGTCATTGACCTAAAAAGGAGATTTCC